TTACTCTAAAATATCCTAGAATAAGTTACTGCACAGTTCTCCTATATTTTGAGAACTGTTTGCGCTTAGTTTTTTTCAATTTTTCTTCTTTCTAGCCATGAGAAAGGATTACTTTCTCTACCATTTCCATTTGATTTACTCTAGGCTTGACAAAATTAAAGTCCTGGATCCATGACTTCCTTCCTCTAGTCATTGATGTTGTAAGTTAATGCGGCAACTAAGGAAGTGTAGGATTGTGCAGAAGTAATTTTTACATTAATGATTGTATCTGATCAACTACCTCAATCATTCTAACAGCAAATAAAAGTGACTGTAAATACAGTAAGATGAATATAGCACTTTCAAAACTTTTTAATCTTTAACATGATCCATCAGAAAATGGAACACTATGCTGGTCTTACACTTCAGAAATTTGATGCAGTAAGTATGAATAACCTACCCAAGGCCACAAAGGTGAACATTATCAGCCAACATAAAAACTCCAAGGTTCAGGCAGCAAGTCCTCTGTTCAGACTATAACAAAGTGATAAATCTCATTCAACATTTGAAAGCCTTTCCCACCAAGGAAGTTCTCCACAGACTTAAGAGTTTATCATGGTCAATTTATTATTTCAGCTGGGATTTTTCTCTATTTTGTCCGCTGTTGAGCGACAAACACTTCCAGTGAAGTCCTTAGTGTGATAAACCATGGGGGAGGGTGCGCGTGTGTGTACACATGTATATACATGCATTTCAAAAGGACGAAGCCATTTTTATTTCATTCAGTCAATGGAAAACAGTTTTAAATGCTACACTGTTCCTTCTTCCAAAGTGGACCTACCATAATTTGTGATCTGATGACCAGTTTACCTATTTTTATTTACAGGAATATCTCTCTATTTGTCAGAATCTCTGGTGGAAATCATGGCACAGAATAGCAGAGGAAAACCATGAGTTAGATTCTCAAGTGTAATTCATTAAAAATGAACTATGACTAGCCCTCCTAATTTGTAATTTTTCTTCAAACAGCCTTTTAACTATAATTTCATTTCTCTGACAAAATTCACATCCGCTATCCTGAGACTTTCTAACCTGTAAAAATCTCCTATGGAAAATGTAATGATAGGCTCAGTTTACTATAATAACTAATCTAAAGAAGTTAAAACCCAAAATAACACTTGGTTAGGGTCTGGTGAGGAAGAACAGGATGTGCTTCTTGTGAATCATACTATACTGACAAAGACTATACTGACTTCAGTGCAAAGACAACGTGAAATGTAATGGAAAGGGTAGGTGAGAGGAAATACAAAAAAGCCTCTCAGGAGATAAGCACGTACAGAGACAACACTTCAACTCTAATTACTTGCCTTTTAAGCAACAAACCTGTTCTCAGCTCTTTTGAGAATGTTTTCCCCATTTCATGCACAACTGAAGAGATCCTAATTTTAATATAATTTGTATCAAATAGTGCCTTTGGAGAACAGAAATATTAATTCAGAAAAGGAAAGACCTGCAATACAAATCTGTAGCTCACAAAAATAATAAATTCAGAAGAATTAAAAAAAAAAAAAAAAGGCACAATCCTCTTGTAGGTCTGATGTTTGAACAGAGAGGGTGACAGCGGTCTAGCAATTCCAGGTGTTTTCATGCATATGTATATATTTGTAGTGTATCTGTGTCTATTTCATTCAGCTTCTACTTTCTCCATGCTCTTCAGTAATCAAGTATTTGATTTGTAAGATGCTACATTAGTGCCAGCAGGCACAAAATGGTATAATAAATACACTCTTCACAAAATATAAAAGCCATGCACTTAGTGAAGAAAGCCTAGCTCTTCAGCTAAGTGGAAATCAATAACTCCCTTTCATTTTTTAAAATAGCTCTGCTCAGCACTTAAGAGTCCCAGCTGCCACAGAAAGTCATACAAACTCCAAGCCCTGCTCTGTTTAAGTTTCTGTTCCATAGCTCACTTCAGGAGTGTGAACAGGATACTTCTTGCTGAACTAGACCATAAGAAACTTTGTTAGTAGACCAAGTGAAAAAACAAATCCGATAATTCTTCCATTTTAGCAATTCATTTGAAATCAGTTCCATTACAGAAGCATCAAGTCATTGGTTCTTGTTTTATCACACGCTTTATAAAGACAGGTTTGTTACAACAGCCTTGAAGGGGACTGGCAGTTAGGTTCCCACTGGCCATGTTCTTGGGGAGAAACACCTTGGAAGAACTGTGGTTCAACAAGACAGGGCTTTTGGAATTCAGAGCCAGGTGTCCCTCAGGGACTAAAGTCACAGAATTGGTGTCAGGTGGCACCACAGATTTCTTAGGGAATAAAACTTTGCTTTGTTCTAGAACAACATGGTTTATAGAAGAGGTGGAGGCACCGGATAGCGATTCTTTTATCACTTCATTTGGGATCTTGCTATATAGATAATTGGGGGAGTTATTCTCCATTATATCTGACCAAGCCCTGTAGCGAACTTCCGCTGCTCCCCAGTAGTGTCTAATAGCAGACTCGGAGCGATGGCCTGTCACTGCCATTATTTCTCTAGGCCCCAGTCCTGCTTCACACAGTAGCTGGATGGTGGTAGTTCGGAGAGAATGATTGGTATATCGTTGAGACAGCCTGGCTGCCACACTTATCCTGGGCATCATGGTACCTAAGTAGTTCACACCCATCGGTTCTCTTTTGTACCAGACAGGCTGTTCTTGCATTTGCTCTGACGTTAGCTTTAAAGGATGCAGGTAAAAGGCAGGGGGTTCTGGAGGCAACTTAGACAAATAAAGCTCCAAGGAAAAAACAGGACAGTTTGGGTCCCCTGGCATGTCATACATTTTACCCATTTTATGAGGATCTTCTCCATTTTTTCCTTTGCCAGGATACCTAAACATAGCATATCGACGCCCGTTCTTGTCCTTCTCAACAACAAAAGCATCTGGAGCCAGATCTCTTAAAATTTCCCTCCCTCGTTTGGCAAAATGCAACTGCAAATCAAACCACACCTTGTTGACAAGCGCCAGTGGACTGTGCAATCCCAGCACGCCAGACTGTTTAATCTTACGCAAGTCCTCAGCAGCTATAGGAGGATGGTGGTGAGTCTCATCCTTCCCCTGCATGCGCAGCATCTTCAGCACGCTCACAAATACCATGTTTGCACTAGCAAACTCTTTGTCCTTCATTAAGCAAATCTGACGATTATAAGGTGGCATTTTGAGATGCCGGTTTAAGCCAGCACGCATTGACTTGTAGCTTGCCACACTGTAGGTGTTTCCATCATGATTCCTTACTGTGTAATAAAACTCTCTTAAGATATCATTGAGTTCACTTACTGGGACCAATTCAAAGCTAGGATCCTTGCCATTTTTGGCCAACCATTGTTTTAATAGGTTAGCTGCCCAGCCAGTCTGCTTGTGGGTGTTTTTGATGCTCTTAGCATCCTCTTCCTCTTCCTCCAAGCCAAAGAGGACATCCTCGGGGAAGTTAAAATTCGTCTGTGCTGCTTCTACCGCTTCTTTATTTTCTGATGAAGTCTCTTCCTGTTTCAACTGCTTTTCGAAACAATTGATCAAAGTTGTACCATCAAATATGCCACAGGTATACGGCACACAGCGAACTACTTTTTGTTCTGAGAGCTGTGAAGTGCGGAGTAATACATAATATTTTGGATTTTACATAACAAAAAGCAGGTGGCATTAACTGGATTTTTCAAATGATACGGCATGTCAATTCCATACCTCACTAGCCAATTAAAATGCATCAGGTTCTTCTTTATTAACCATGGCATTACACATGCTTTAACTGATTTGGCTGAAAGCAAACCTAGAAACATACACTATAACAGAAGACTGAAAACCGGAAAGCATCATGTGTCTTACTTCTTCCCTCCTTGCTCACCTTCCATTGCTAAATACCACTAGCACACACAATCTGTTTTTCCAACATCTTTTCCGGGTTTCAGGCTCTACTGAAGAAGAAAAATGCCAAAATACACAGCTTATATTGAAAATTAAATCTTTAAACCGTATATCTGTTATCCATTCTGGTACTGAATTTTCTACATATCAAGTACTGACAAATGTTTTTAATAGCTATAATCCACAGGTATCTTTGAAAAATGAAGTTCCAAACAACCATTCTTTATGAAATGCCTTAATAAAAAGGTAGAGTGAGGCACAGTTTATACTCTTATAATACTGGTTATCTTTGCCAGACTATTTCTGTGACAGGTGAAAACAAGAATCTTGTCCAGTATATTTTCTTCTTGCTTTGAAACACAATTCAGATTTAACCGTACCTTGAAACACTACTAAATGTGGGAATGTTGGCTAGAAGAAATTAATTTTATACTCCTTAAGAAAACAACTTCCAGTTAACAGCACTGTAACTATGAGGTGCTTTGTGAAATATCTGTATGCAGAAATAATAAAATTAATTATGAATAATTTTAAATAGCTTAACGTCAACCTTTAAATTACAAAGAGATGTCAACAAATCTGAGACGAGGAATCCAGAAGTTTATAATGCAAGTTTATAATGAAGTAGTTGTTCCTGAAGAAAGTTTCTTTTCCTTTTTTTCTTTTTTTTTTTTCTATGACATATGGTGATGAAATATTAGAACCCTGATTCTTATTAACTTCTGGTTTAGCGTGGAAATGAGAGAGCTGCAACAATTCTACAAAATATTTGTAGCTTTAAGTTCAAGCCCTTCAGATGAAAACTGGGCAGGGTTTTCTTTTGTACGTTAGCTCTGCTGTATCAGACAAGTTTTTAGTGTGTGCCTGAATTACTAACTCATCTATTTACACAAACCCCATCAGAAAACTTCTGAAAAGATTATCAGAAGCTCATGCTCCAAGTAATACACTGGATCAGAAGAAGAAAAATACAAACGGACAGAAACTAGAAAGGATGGCACACAAAAGAAACTAAAATTGTTTCATTATGAGCAAAAGGTAAAGAACTTTTCTCCTGTGGATTGTAACTTTAGAATTTTATATAGGAACATAATCAACAACCTACCTGTGTTGTTCCCTCAGCAGTTCGCTTGTTTGCCGAAGTATCTGTTGATGGCCTGCTTGTCTGGTTTTCTGAGGGGTCAAAAAATTGTTCATTTGCAGTACCTAATCAGTACTAAATACTGCTATCCACTACACAAATTTGGAGGCAATATTCAAAATTGTTTGATACTAAACATTCAGTATGTGGCACATTTAACATTTTTTAGCCCTAATTTTCAATTATAAATATTCAAGCTTGATTACTACCATTTTTCAGAGGGAACAGAAGATACAGAAAAGCAAAACAGCACTTTCCAGACTAGAAGCAGTACATGTTCCCTTCCTTGGAAGTCTGACAGTGTATTAAAAATATTTTATGAACAATTCCTTCACTTATCTGGGGACAAAGCATAACTCCAACCTCTCCGCCCTCTGTATGTAAACGAACAAGATATTAAACTGAAAAAAAAATTACCATTATTCCCCATTTTTGTGCAAAAATTTGACTGAACAAAGGATGGTTAAACAGACTTCAAAATACATAACTGAGATGATCTGTGCAGGGACACTGAGTAGCTTTATTAGCTCAGCCAAACATCTACCTACACTAGCAACTTAAGCAGGATTTGCTTGAGTATTTGATGTAAATGTTTAAATTCAATTTCTCCTTTCTCATTCCTTTTCATTTTAACCACAGCCTCTTAGCAACTGTGCTGGCTCAAAGCAGTGCTTTATTCTGGTGAGAAAACTACTAGGGTATACACTAAGGTTATGTGAACTGCAGAAAATGAGACATTTGTGGACACGTAGGCCCTTCCTTTGGTCACTGTGCCTGATCTTTTACGTTGTATCAAATCATTGTATCAGCTTTAGAGCTAAAAGTCAATACAAAACATAACTGTCCAACTCTATGTAAGATATATTTTAACACAGGTAACTTAGAGATGAGAAAATGAAATAAAACTAGTTCTGATGTCAAGCTTTGCCTGAGTTAATTTTAACATTATATTCTGCCAATGAGAAACTTGCTATAATTCCAACTCGCGTAGAAATCTTGAGGACCTCTTAGAAAAAAAATTTCAAGGTATGTAAAATCAGAAGTGCAGAGAATCATCGTGGCATGGCCAAAGATGGAGAAAGTATTTCAAAGTAACCAATCGAGATACCACATTTGAACATTCGTTGTGTTCAGAGACTTCATATTAAATACAATAAATGTACTTCTTTGGAACTAGGTTAGTATTGTGTTTTTACCCCCATTTTATTTACTTTAAAGTGTTGTGAAAATTAACTTAATGATTGTACTTTCCTTTCAGCGTGTCTTTGCTTAGAAAGGCAGCCAGATTATTTTGAGAGGCTGTATTAAAAATAACGTACCAAGTTGTTAATAGTAGAACAGGAGTTTCTGCTTTCATGCTAGGAATGATATAAATCAAGTTCTAAATAAAACAAAGCTTACAGAGCCACACTACTGGGTCCTTCTAAGGAGAGACAATTTTCAACAATGGCTAAAACACATCTATGACAGATTATTTTGATCTTGACAATTTCAAAGGACAGGCAACCAAGAAGGAACACCTCAATAAAATACACTAATATACAAATTCCCACAGGAGTGGAGTTTTGCATTTCCCTTTGACAACTATTTTCCTTTCCCGGTGTCAACATTTAAGCATAACTTACCAACTCTGGGCGCTGTAATGGTGGGTGGTTCAATAGGAGCTGTACTACTAAATGCAGAGAGGGGAATCTTCATCTGTAGGGGAGCTCGACTGCTGGTAGCATTATAAAGTCCTGAAGCACCCACTGCGGGCAAAGAAGTCCTTGTGGCCTGGGCAACAGGATGTGCAGTAGAAACAGCCTGTACTGCCAATGTTGTGCCTATTGATGCAGCACTGGCTGGAGAGTTCCTTTGAATACCAGGACTGGGCACAGATGGGCTGTTATTTGGTTTAGTTGGGTTAGCTGATGCCAAAGACACTGTAGTTTTGGTAAGGCTACCAACTGTAGATGAGCTTTGTACGGATATAAATTCAACGTTGCCTGACTGTTGGTTGGTTACCAGAGTCCCTGTGTGGCCTTGCAGGAGCTGAGGCTGGGATGACACCGCAACAGGTACATGCAAGATTACAGGCAAAGACTGCAATGAGACAGACACCGACTGAGTGCTGCCACTGGGCACTTGGTTAGTGCCTACAACTGTAGCTGCGTTAGCTGCGGGAAGAACTGTTGTTGTCAAAGAGCTGGTGGAGGTCACTGGAGTCTGAGGCTTAGGATGTCCGCTGACAATTGTTGCAGAAGCAGCAAGACTGGAAGCTGGCACTACACCAAAAAAAACAAACAAAAAAACCCCAACAGAAAACTAAGTATTTGAACCAAGTGGGAAGTTTCACTCCAACACAACAAATGGAAACGATTTACGATGAGGGCAGTGACTTAGCGGAACAGGTTGTCTGGAGAAATTCTGAATGCCCTATCATTCCAAGTGTTCAAAGTCAGGCTGGACAGGGCTTTGAGTAACCTGATCTAGTGAAAGATCCTGGCCCATAGCAGGGGGGTTGGACTAGATGATCTTTAAAGGTCCCTTTCAGCCCAAACCATACTATGTTTGTATGAAAAATGTGGTGTATGATTAAATTTTTTTTTCAACGAAAGGTATAGATACTCTTCTTTTGTTGTACACTCTGATATTCAATAGCCTAGTTGAAGATATGAAGATACAGTCAATACTGTATTTCTGTTTGAAAGAACTATATATAAATGACAAAAAAATAGGATATACTATGAGACAAACAGGCTTGCAAAAAGATCCAAGATTTAACTGCTGAAAACACGTGAAATATAGCATTTTTAAACACGCATTACAGAAATGGTACAACAACTTGTACTTCAGAAAACACAAGAAAAGAAAAACTAAGACAGTTATGACTAACTTGCTTTGTATAGGTAGGACCTTGCATCGAGAAGGTTCTACTGAAACCAATGATTAATGTGTCAGAGAAGATACTTGCTTTTATGCAACAACATTTCAGGATTAAACCTAAAGATCAGGAGCACAATACACTACAGAAAGCTAGTATATGCCTACTATGAGGTGATTCTGTGGAAAAGATTCAGCAGTCAATATTAGGTAAACTACTTTTAAAACCAAGCATGGTGTGACTACAATGAATATAATTAATGGTAGTTTTGATTCTATGCTCCCTATAAAATTCTAATCTGGCAATTCAATTTTTCAACTTGATTCCTGTAAGAAATGGGGAACTAAAGGAAGTCAGAAGCCCCACTCAACTTCTGTAGCCATTAGGTAGAGGGGAAGATACCAGCACCCCATGATCACATGGGAAAAAAGAAAAAAAAGAAAAAAAAAAAAAAAAAAGGCCTGAGTCATGCGTTGCACTTTTCAGCAGCTGAGAGACAGCAAGTTTTGCTGCCATACCCAGCAATCAGTCTGCTGAAGCATCTGATTTACCCACATATTCTGGCTGGCCAAATAATCACATTTTTTCTCTTACCTGGTAAGCACACTACACAAATATAAACCGGGAATGTGGTAGAGAACAAAAAATAACGATTTTTGATGTCAGAAAAAAAAAGTCCAAAACCCCAGTTTTGCTTTGTTCAGTTAGTTAGTTGTTTAATGGAAAGCAATAAAACTTTTATGAAGTGTGCTTATAGTCCATAGGCAGTTCTTTACCTGCATTCACAGGGGCTTGAAAAGTTGCTGGTGTGCTCTCTCCTACATTCCTCTTTGATTCCAGCATCTGCCTCACTGTGCCAGCATTTCTATGGGATGAAGTTTCAGTTAGCATTTCTCAATGAGCCACATCAGGTATAATCATGAACAGTACAGTGATGAAAAACCCTTATTGCAGCTATTCTCTTAAATGAGATTTTCTAAACACATTTAATTTTCTGACCCCCATGCAAATTAACTTTGGATATTTCCCTACTAAAAAAGAAATGCAGCATTATTTGTAAATTTTCAACTGCTTGCACCAAGTTTGCCTTTCACCATAAGAATTTTCCCTTCCTTGAAATTAAACTTCCGTTTTTATTCATTATTTTTTAACCGCTGAAACAGCACTCATCTCAGTTTACCTACGAATGGATTCACTACTGTCCATTTGAGACTTGTGAGAAAATCCAATTTTACAACTGAAGAGCAGTGAAGGAAAAGGAAGAGCACTTTAATTAAAAAAAGAAAGTACAGGGATTATCCATTAGATGAGATTAGATATCTCCACTGTCCTATTGTAAATTTTAGCATGGTCACAGTGATGGGGTTTGCTTACCGATATGTTGCATTATTTGTGTTTCCAGTGTCACTCGGTGCTTTCCCTGGAGACAGAGGTGCATTTGGTGCATTCTTTTAAAAAAAAAAAGAAAAAAAGAAAAAAAGAGAGAGAGACAGAGAAGCCATAACAAAACAATCATAAGACAGCTTGCAAACTTATGCTTTCATTGTATTTCACATTTTCTAGAGCCAACACTGCAGAAGAACTTGACATGTTTTACAACTCTCCCAAAACCTCCTTGGTTCTACCTGCCTCCCTCTACTACATCTTCCCTTTTTATAAGTCTCTTGCCTTCAGGTTTTGATAGCATGAGAATCAAAATTTCTTCTTGAAAGTTAATGGACTTCTAGCTACCACTTCTTCACTGTAATTAACCCAAAATATTCATTCTCGACATGGAGAAATACTGTTGTTTATGCCCATTCCTCTCCTCTCCCTCCTCCACCCCCAAAATCAAGGTACTGGGATTCACCATTATTTACTCTGTACATACTGGAGTAAATTAGATTTACTTACATACAGTTTAAGGTGCTTTCACACTAATAATGCCTAAAGAACCTTCTGTACAAATCAGAATTACATAACACACGCTAAAGGACTATTCTTTCGTATTACTGCCTTTACCAAACAAGACACCACTGAACAACCACATCACATCTTTCTGCATATAAAATTTCTTTATTTTTCAACACAAGGTTTAGGCTAATTCAGAAAAACAAATATAACAAATCTAGGTCTTACTTCCTGTCTTTTCTTCAAGTCCTCCCTGGCTGCTCCAAACCGCTTTGTCAATCTAGCAATTTTAGCCTAAATGGGAAGAAGATGAAAACAAACAAACCCATAAATATCCTCCCCAAGAACCATCAAAGAAATTATACAAACAAAAAATTATATAATTAAGACACCAAGTCAAAGGCTATTTTCATTTCAGGGGAAATTATTCTTCCTTGAAATACAGTACAACTATACTACTTCAAAGCTGCAGAATGACACACACGTGCATCACAATCAAGATAACTTAGAGACAACTTGAAGTATTCTCCTTCCTATTCACAACTGCACAAACAGAATCCATCTTGCAGAGGTTCACACAATATTTGCCACGAATGAAGGCAACTGAAAGCATTTGACTGTTTTAATGCCTTATGTACCAACCACATTGAAATATGCACCCCTTTTTGCCTTTCATATTATCTACTCTTTCCCCATTTATCCTATTTCTCCCTCTCACTGATACACTACATCCCCCACACACCTTACTGTCAGCTTTGTTCTACTCTATTTGATGTTCAGGTGTCAGGTTCATTATCTTCTTAAGCACTATTGTTACATCTTGTCCTTCTTGTGTTTCCCTCAATATACTATTTGGTGACCATTCCTTCTGTAATTACCTCAGCATTACAAGATCCTAATTTACCCTGTCTAGGTTGCAGTTCTGATGGCTGACTTATTTTGGAGGCAGTAGCTGTGCCACTTGTTCTAAGCAGGTACTTCATCTTTTCTTGCACAGAAAGAAGAGTCAAATTCTATTTACGAACTCCTGAAAACACTAGGTTAGCACTAGAAGAATGGAAGTTTTTAAAAAATCAGTGACTTTCATATACCACGATTTCAGATCTTCTTACCTACAAGGAGCTGGTCCACTTAGAAACCTCACCTCTTCCACATTTTTACAAAGCAACATGACAGGCTACAATTAAAGTCTGCATTTAATTAGATTTATATTTCATTTTCTGTTATCTTTTACAATGTACAGATCTTTTGAAGCATCTTGTATAATAAAACCATGTAAGTTTAGACTCCAAGTATATTAACATCAACACATTCACAGCCTTATACGATGTTGCTAATTTGACACTGTAGTTGATGGCCAAAGACACCGATAAGCAAGTATACTGAAAGTGTCTTAGATAGCACTTAACAAAAAGTCAACGTAAGATGTCTGGGGTGGTGAGGGGGAAGAGTTACGTAGTACAAACTGGTCTGGCAAACTCCACACTTTTTTATGCTAGAAGTAAAATGGCCTCATTGTTTGAATTTGTTATGACATAAGCTTTTATTTGTCACTTAATCTTGATGTGTCACTAAATCATCTTTTATTTTTGTGATGTTCCTCATGTCACCTCTACATACATAACTTCTATACAGAATGCAAGAAAGCATGCAGCATTCAGCACTAGCTATATGTTTCCTTGCTGGAATATAGTTTCTGTGGAAATAACACAAATAAGTAGCATGTGGTGTTTCTTCGTTTGAACATCCTACAAAGTTCAGTGCTATTCTCCTCTCCTTCCTGCACTTTTCTGTTCTTAAGCAAATTTCTGGCTTCACAGAGGCACTGGATATTTTCATAGTTAACATTTATTTGAAAAATGTCTAAATGGAACAGAAGAGAGGAAAAGTGATTTACTAACAGCTAATGAGGCAGTTTGCCAGAAGGAAGATTTGCTTTGGAGTTTTTTGATGATTAATTGGTTGCTTTTTCCTTGCTGAGCAGGGAGTTAGAATTTTGCAACTCAAAGGCAACATTAGTATTTGTTGCTCCCCCCTCCCCTTCCCTTGGTGAAGTCAAAATGGTTTCCCTACTGACAGCTACAGGTGACTAACTACTAGATGCTGAGGAATTTATTTTAAATTTGACTCTAGTATGTTCAACACACAAACACTCACCTGTAATTCAGTAAGCACAGTTTTATGCCTCTTGTTACATTCTACTTTCTCTATTCGGGTTTTCAAGTCTGCCAGAGTCTTGTCAAAAACAGCACACTGTAAAGCCGTAAGTTTTTCTTCTAACAGTCTCTGGATAACCTGCAAAATTATTATTAACAAAAAAAAGAAAAATAATGCAATCCCAGAATTTGGGAGACCATCTATAAAAATACTCTCAACTCTTAACAAGTATCCTGCTACAAACTGAACAATGACAATGGCTCTGCCCTGTCAATCAAATAAATCTATAGTCATTAATAAGCATGAGGTTGTACAACTGAGGAAAGTTTCTACGTCTATCTATAATGGTCCTTCTTTGCCATTAATTTAAGAAATGAATTTAATCACAGTATAAGTATATAGAACCTTATTACATATAAAAGAACATTAACAACAGAAGGTATTTTCAAGTGCTGTGTTTAGACAAATTAATTTTCCCCCTTACTTTTCTGTTCTTGAGATAGACACTGGCATTCAAAGAACAGAAACTAAAGACGTTCACCAAATATTTCTAAGATGCATTTTCTCGTAGCAGAAACGTCCTGTGTTGCTTTTCTTAGAAAAGCTAAAAATGGAAGAGAGACTGATTTCCTCAAAGTTTACTTGATACACTTATTTAATTTTTTTCTCCCTCCTATACCTATTGCAGGGCAAAAATTTTCCTTAGGAAACAAAAATGAACAAGTAACAAACGTGGTTCAGTTTTCTGCATCCAACATTAATAAAGTAACAAAATGCACTAGCTAACTAACTAATGGAAGAAGGGCACAATTTTTTTTCTTCAAGGCCATAGGTTTCTTTACATGCCAATGGTGCAATCAGGCAATTGACAGCTCTATAAAAATCCACAAAATGCTATGCTGATTGCACTCCTGTTTGGAGACAGACTTTCTTCAAAGCTAGGCACACAGTAAAGTGCACCACATATAAAGCTTTACCACACTGAAATACCTCTGTTGCTAAGATCCTCCACCTATAGTCACACAAGACTTAAGAGTTTAAATATTTAATACATTTCAAATATAACTCTTGCAGTATAGTTTTCAAATTATATTTGGTCTCCTCTTAAAAACAGGGGTATATGGGACTTAATATGAATTAAGCCACCTTTGTTATTTGAAGTAAGTCCAATTTTCAACCACAAAAAAAGAGAAAGTATTTGGGGGGGCAGGGAGTGCGTGGGAAAGGATAGCTAATTCAAAGATGGTAAGACAAGTGATAGGTGTGTTTGCCACCTTTGCTCTGCACCTCCATTCTACCTTTTGTAATTTCTGGTCAACATCCTTTCTGGCTGTAATTTTTACTTGGAGTTCTGCTTCATAATCTTCTCCTATGTATCGACGACGTTTAGAATGAACACTGTCCATGTCCTCAGATTTGGAACGCTTTCTCCTTGACACTTCACCTGGAACAATTAGATACAACCGCTTGTGAGGAACCTTTGAAAAAACAAGTATCTGCAGAATACTATGATTACTATCAAGTTTCATTTGTCCCAAGTTTAAGCTTCTTCATCCAAACCCAGTAAGAATGCCTTTGGAAAAAGAAGATGTTTGATGACATCAAAGCAGAACAATCCCTTTGGTCTCTGTACATTGCTGTCCTGTTAGCAAGTTCTGCTGTGATTTGCCAAACCACTGCCCCAAATGCAAAATGGCTGTAGTACCAGCATTCCCTTCTCCAGAACTTGCCTCCAGTTCTTCCTGCTCCTATCAGCACCATCCTATAATTAAACATGGCTTCTAAGAAGCAAAACAAAACCCTCTTCTGAAAAAGGAATCCTCTTCTCAGGATTCCAGCCAGATAAAACTCATCATATTCTGCCTGTGTCAGCAATGAACTTTTTTTCCACCTGCCATGAAGTTTTAACCTGCACCTCCAATCCTTGACGGAAAAAACATTCAAACCTTTTTCTTACTTCTTGGGTAAGAAGGAAAGCAAAAACCTAACAAAAGAACCAGCTCAAAACTATATTATAAAAGTCATTTTCATCATAGGGATCAAGCACGAAAGAACCAGAGACACCTCCAGCTCCTGGCACTGTATCCTCTAGAGATCCACATATAAAATAACACACCTAGGTAAATTTTCAGGAAGGGAAGCTACAAGAGCATACTGTCGGTATTTGACCACCATCAAGACACCAAAGACCATAGCCACCACCGCCTCCACCCCAAACCTGAGTATGATATAGAAAGACAGAACGAATGAAGATTCACTGGAGACTGAACCAGCATAAGAAACAGTTACTTTTCACTGCCATTTTTTCTTTACTTGGATTACATACACTCTGTGAGTTACATTTCGAACTTCACAAATTTCTTATAGTTTGATTTTGGGATGGTTAGATTTCTGATGTTTCAGTCTGATCTGTTTTTCTGATTTTTTTTTTTTTTGCAATTGCACTTAAAATGCACTATTTTACTAAAAATTATTAAAAAGTAGTATTTTAAAATCCGCACGACAATCTAGGTTATTTTTAAGTTTGTGAAAGTGTAGGTCCTTATTTTTAGGTAAGCTTTGTAGGGCCCCAGGGCTCTTCATAAACATTTGCAGAATGCTGAATATTTGCAAGCAATATAAACGTCTGAGGTACGAGTTTTTCATTTTTTTCCCAGAATGACAGTAAACAGTGGAAAATGAAGAGAGAAAAAAAAGGCCATCTCCAGTTTTCTTCCATCCATCAGAAAAGCTTGTAGAAATAAAATAAAATAAAAAATAATATCTGAATAGTTAGAACACTATTCCCAGACTAGTAACTAAGAGCTTATTAGGATCTTCCACAAAACTCTTTCCTGCTCCCAGTCACTCTTTTTAGGAAAAGCTTAACCACTCAACAGTACAACAAGTAGTTTGCAACATGCAAGAGCTGCTTACGCATTTAACAGAACATACTTAACAGAACATGTTTAACGTTCAGGTAACTTGTTCTGAAGCAGATGCTACATCTAAGTTTATTGTAGTTAGATTCTCTTTGAAGAGCTTCAGGGTGGTTGCTACTGGTGGAAAGGACATTTGAAGGAAGCTGTGATTTCTAAGAAACTCTAGCAGCTTCTAACGACCTCCATCAGCTGTTCTTGATCAAAGGGTGCTTTGTGCTTGTGTTCCAGCTGATTCCTGATGAAGGCTCAAACACCCTTTCAGCATGTACTGGGGAGAGACCTTTATTACTGCTGGGCCTAGAGTGCAGCTCCCAGAGAGCAGCTAACAAACACAGGACTTTCACAGCAGGGTGCACAGAAGGGGAATGGTCCCTACACTCAGCAATGGTGGTGATGTGCCACACGGTATGGTCTCCAGCAACCACTGGAACAACTCTCCCGGTAATGTCAGAGCCTCCACCCAGACAGTTGATTTGGGGGAAGATGTGGCTTTGAAAATCTTTGACTATCTATGAATAGATAATCTTTGATTATCTATGGCCTCCCATTCTGACTGAGGCTATGGCAGAGGAAGATGAGCTTCTTGGCTACAGAAGGAGCAAACTAGTGGGAGAGCTGTGTTGCCAAGTTAAAGGGGCTATGAGAGGAGGTCCGGGGATGGCACAGCACCAGAAATGGTAAGAAACAGATTGACTGGATATACTCCAAGATCCTGCAGCTGTAAAAAATGCAACCCCCAGCTGTAGCAGAGGAGGTACAGTCAGAGCCTGAGCTTATCCAGATGGGCAATGGAGACTCCCATGATGACAAAGTCCAGAAGCACCAGGACAGCAGCTCCTACTCTGCTGCAAATGTATAGCAAAATGACAGATTTCGTTCAGTGCTCTCAGAGCAGATACAGGGCTGGGAACTGTGCCCAGTGAAACATCTGAACTGGCTAAGCCTGAGCCATACAGTATAGCACCAGATATTAGTAACAACTGACTCCCTGCCTGCAGAGGGTGAAGGCCCCCCATCTGCCAGCGACAGGTGACCTATAAGAAAGATAAAGGCACTATGTGGGTGGGAATGGGGTTAGGAAAGCCAAAGCTCACTTCAAAGCTGAATCTGGTGTGGCACATGAAGGGCAACAGGAAGGGCTTCTACCAGTATACCAGCAGCAAAAGGAAAACTAGGGAAAAATACATCCCCCCTGCTGAATGAGGCAGGGAAGCAAGTGACAAAGGACACAGAAAAAGCCCAGGCACTCAATGCCTTCTTTGCCTCAGATTTTAATGAGAAGGCTTGCCTTCAGTAGTGCCAGCTCCCTGAGACCAGTGGGACAGGCTGGAGCAAAGGCAGACTTGCTGTCAGTGGAGCACTGCGTTAACATTTGAACAAACTGGACATACCTAAGTCCATCCAAGCCAGAGAGATGCACTCCCAAGTGCTGAAGGAGCTGGCTGAGGTGACTGCAAGGCCACTCTCAATTTCTGAAAGGTTGTGGCAACAACATAAGGTTCCTGAGGACAGGAGTGACATCTGCTTTCTTTTAATCTTCAAGAAGGGGAAGAAGGATGCAGGGAATTACAGGATGGTCAGCCTCACCTCAATCCCTGGGCACATGACGGAGCAAGTAATTCTAGAAATCACCCCTAAACATATGAAGAAGGTGGTGATGGGGAATAGTCAGAATGGATTTATTGAGGGGAAATCATGCTTTATCAGCCAGATAGCCTTCTATGATGAGATGACTGGCTTGGCGGATGAGGGGAGAGCAACAGATGTTGCTTATCTTGTCTTTAGTAATGCTTTTGACACCCAAAACATCCTGAGAGACAAACTCATGATATATGGCCTAGATAAATGGACTGGCTTAACTGTTGGGCTCCAAGAACTGTGATTAGTGGCACAAAGTCCAGTTGGAGCTTATCACTAGTAACATACACCAGTAGATGATACTGGTACTGACACTAACATCTTCATTAACGACCTAGATAATGGAAGAGAGGGCACCCTCAGCAATTTGCAGATGATGCAAAACTGGAAGAAGTGATTGCTACACTAGATGGTTATGCTGCCATTCAAAGTCACCTTGAGAAGCTGGAGAAATAGGAAAACGGGAACCTCATGAAGTTCAAAAAAAGGAAATGAAAAGTCCTACACTTAGGTAGGAGTAAACCCATGTACTAGTACAGGCTGGGAAATGACTGGCTGGAAAACAGCTTTGCAGAAAAGGCCCCGGTGGTCTTCATGCACATCAAGTTGAACATGAGCCAGCAATGTGCCCTGTCAGCAAAGAAGGCCAACAACATCCTTGGCTGCCTGAGGAAGAATATCACCTGCAGGTCAAGGGAGGTAATTATTCCTCTCTGATCAGTGCTGTGAGACTGAACCTTGAGTCTTGTGTCCAGTTCTGGGCTTCTAAATACAAGAAAGATGTTAGCATACTGGAAAGTGTAGGGCCACCAATATCTTTTACAGACCGGAGCATCTGTCCTATGAGGAAATCACAGCTGGCATTATTCAACTGGAGAAAGTGGTTAGAGGAGATTTTATACAGTGTGTAAATTACCTGATGGGTGGAAGTGAAAGAGACAGACCAAGACTCTTGGTGAGTACCAGCGAAATGACAAGGGAAATGGATGCAAATTGAAATACAGGAAATTCCATTTAAACTTTAAAAACTTTTTTACTGTGAGGGTGGTCAAACACTGGAAGTGAAACACTAGAGGGCTGTGAAGTCTCCATCTGTGGAGATACTCAAAACCTGTCAGGACATGGTTCTGAGCAAACTGCTCTAGTTGACCTGGTTTTGAGCAGGGGATATGGCCTAGATAATCTCCAAAGGTCCCTTCCAACCTCCACAATTCTGTTTCTCACACGTGCCACCAGTGAAGCTTAATAGTTTTAACATTACGTACTTCTCTCTGTGTGTTTCTCCTCTTCTTTTTGCGTCTCTTCTTCTTTATCCTCCTCACTCTCCTTTCTTCTCTCCTCTTCCACCTCTTCTACAAACAGAAGAAAAAAAACCCCATGTGTTACTTATACTGACCTACAGAAGTCTCTTCTACAAACAGAAGAAAAAAAACCCCACGTGTTACTTACGAGACTTCTGTAGGTCAGTATAAGAGTCCCATTTCAACTAGTAAACTTGGAATACTTACAAAAAACACACTGGGGAAGATGAGAGAAGTAAATATGAGACAGATGGAATGCAGACATGAAAAAAAAAATCAGAGGATACCTTCACAGCAAAAATTTGAACTGCCATACAACACCATAAGATTCACTTCCAGGTTTGCTTAGCTTTAAAATCAACAGAATGCCTCAAAGTTACTTCTGAAATGAAACTATGCATTTTTAATGTAGTTAAAGTTCTCAGTGAATTATTTTAGTTGATTTTTCACCTAGGAAAAACAGTATAAAAGTTTCAGTAACAAAATACAATTATGTTCTTCTAGTTATTTACAATTTGCAAATTCACCCATAACCTTTGTATTACAAAAAGCCTAGATTCTTCTTTTCTTAACAAATATGAACTTTCATTTAAAATTTCTTCCTAATACAAAGTATCACAATTTTTTTAAAACTAGCCATTTAAAAACATACAGTTTAAGAAATTCTTAAAGACAAATCTGAAATAACACCCCCAAATGCACACAGGTTAAAATGAAAAATGCTAACACTTCCTGAAAACTTTTATTATATGTTCCATGAACTTCCATTATGTTTCACACAGACCGTATATGCGACCTCTTATGCTTGCTAGAAGCAATGTATAACTACTACTTTTAAGATTACATTGACATCCATCTAGAATGTAACAGAACAACTCAGCACTGCTATGCACATCTTGAACTGCACAATTCTCCAATTTCCTATTTTTATTTTGACATTACAGCAGATTTTACTAGCTTTTTTTGAGAAAGTTCTGGCTATGAAGACATGCTTGATGCTCTCAACACTAACTTTTACTTCCATTATGAAGAACATTTGAATGATTTAAAGTAAGTTGCCTAATAAGTCAGAAAAAGGAAGGAGTCAGAAAACCAAAAACTGAAATGATGAGATTTTTCATTTTGTTAATTTATGCAAGAAGTAATGTTCATAGCACATAGTATTTGCAAGTTACTCTGGACCGCACAGTCATACTCTCACTATTCCATAATCCTGTATCTGCAACACTCTCCTCATAGATTGGCCAGAACTGGTGTGCACAGACAGCAATCACAAGAAAGTACAAAAGCATAGCGAGGTGGGGGTTGGTCTCTTTTCCCAAGTAATAAGTGACAGGACAAGAGGAAATGGCCTCAAGTTGCACCAGGGGACACTTAGATTGGATATTAGGAAAAATTTCTTCACCAAAAGAGTTGTTGAACATTGGAACAGGCTGCCCAGGGAAGTGGTGGATTTACCATCCCTGGAGGTATTTACGACAGGTAGACGTGGTGCCTAGGGACATGGTTTTCTGGTGGTTATGGCAGTTGTTAGGTTGACAATTGGACTCTATGATCTTAAAAGGTCCCTTCCAACCTAGATGATTCTATGATTCTAAGCATAGCCTTTCTAAGTAGTGAATCTTTGATCAAACTCTACCCAAAAGTTATTACAAAACAGAAATACAGATTTTTCCCATGAAACATGACAGGACTTGACTATTTTTGTTTAGGAAGAAATCATGGATTCATGTATTTTTAAAGGAATCATCATGACCTAGACAAGCTCAAGAAACTGGATGACAAATGCTTTATGATACTCAACAAGGACAAATCTGCACCTGGGAAAGGAGAACCCTTACAATAACACAGGCTAGGGCCTGCATGGCTAGGGAGCAGCGCTGCTTTGTGGACTCACATAGACAGCAAGCAAAGCAGGAGCCAACACAGCATGCCCTGGCAGCAAAGGATGTCCATAGCATCCTGAACTACTTTTACAGAAACAGAGCATTCATAGCAAGTGGTTATTGCCCTTTACTTGGCACTGGTTATGCCATCTCTCGGTAAGGAACAAGAGACTGCTAAGGGGCTGGAGAACATGACCTCTAAGAGAGGCTGAGGGAGCTGGGCTTGTTCAGCATGGAGAAGATAAATCTTAATAGGGACTTAAAAACAGCTTTCCAATACCTGTAAGGTGCCTTTTGAGAAGATGGAAACAGACTCATTGTAAAGGTGCATGGCAATGGATAAGAGACAAGAGATCCCAACTGATAGAAAGAAAAACATTTCCAACGTGAAGAGAATCAGTGGAACACACTGCCCAGAGAGGTTGTCCAGTCTTCACCAGTGGAAGTTTTCAAGACCTAACTGGATAAAGTTCTAAGCTTCCTTGCCTAATCTCACAACTTACCCTACTTTGAGCAGGAAACTGGACTAGAGAACTCTTGAAGTCCCTCCCAACTTCAACTACGCTATTATTTAGCCACAACTCCCCCTGCCTATTTATATAAAAAGTATTAATTGATTCAAACACAAAGCACAATATTATCTTTTCTAGTTATTTATTACTACATTTTTAGTTGAAAAAAATCCATAAAGGACTTAAAAATTACAACTGATGACTCAAACATCCATTAAACGGTCCTTCAAAGTCTGCTGGACAGAAGTGTGCCTGATATCTGGTTTGCAAAATCCAGCAGATCAAAAATGCAGAACTTTTGTCTTTTGTCTGCTACATTTAAGAAACTTCTTTCCACCATATATTCAGCTCCCATTTGCAAAGACCTCCTAATCTTTTATTGGATGAACAAAACTTACGTTCTTTTAAGATTTCCAGTATAAAGTTTCCCAAATGCTGAAATATTTTTACAGCAACTCTTTGAAAGCCTCCCATTACCCCTTTTTGAAG